TCTCTCTCTCTCTCTCTCTCTCTCTCTCTCTCTCTCTCTCTCTCTCTCTCTCTCTCTCTCTCTCTCTCTCTCTTTCTCTCTGTCTTTCCTTCTCCCTCTCCCTCCGCCTTCCTCCATTCCTTCAAAACTCTTTAACCCCTAAACCTTTCGTCACCCCTTCTCCCCCCCCATGGCATGTGACTAACCTCCACCCTCACCTGTTACATTGCCAGGGAACGAACGGAAAGGAACTTAGTCCTCACTTGGTGGAAAGCGAGGGCAAGGGAAGGGTTGTCGGTCCCTTGTGCCGCCAAGAAGGAAAGGATACGGAACTATTGAGAGCATTTGTGAAAGCAAAAAGGAGCGCTGATTTCGAACAAGGTCAGTTTGACTCAACCATCCTCCCGGACTGCATGACTAAGGGATTGCATGGCTTGCTTGTGGAAAAGGGAAGGGAACTTAGAAGGGGAGTTGGAGGGCGAAGGGGGCTTAGGATTGCGAGAAGGGACGATGTGTTGACCTTAATGGGGATTGTACTTGGTCATTTGTCTTGTGTGGTCTTGCGCAGGTGAGTAGCTTGGGGCGATTTGGACGGGGCTGGGCCCACGGTTACAGACTAGGGTGGGAGAATCGGCTAAGGGAAGGACTTGGACCTCGCATGAGCTGTGGATGCGGGATGGGTTGTATGGTCGGATGGTTGGGTGCTTGGACGAATGGTAGACGTCTGGATGTGGCTGCGTGATGATTGAATGCAATGGCTATCTCGTGAATGCAATGCAAGCCTGGAAGGACTAAGGGCTGCCTTGAATAGGTGGGTGTGATGCTAGTGGCTCTCGTAAAAAAAATGTACCGGCTAGGGGTCCGAGCGTCGCCGCCTCACCCCAAGGATGCCGTCGGGGATGGCTCGAGCTACTAAGCTTAGTGAAAAGGTGCGTGGCCCAATGGATGACGCTTGGCCTGCGCACGGTAAGAAGACGAGATCTCAATGAACCCCCTGGACTGCTTGCGTATTGGAAGGAGCAATTGCCTGATCAGATTTAACTGAATCGAGAAAACGCCGCGAGTGCCAAAGAGCTACCATCTTGACGTGAGAGCGGAACTACATCCCCCAATGTCAAGCCCTCTCGCAAAGGCCCACCCCCACCCATCTCAAAGCACTAGGTGGGGGTGCCCCTGGGACGAATGACCTACGCCCTAAGCGTGAGCGTGGGCGGGTCGAGCCAAATGGGACCCGCAGTGGGGTCGACCGAGGCTCGAAAGTCCTTCAGGGTACGGCCCCTACAACGTTCATAAAGAAGGTAAGTCAATTCCAATGTCAACGCGTTTATTTGGTAAGGGAGAGTCTCTACATTTTGAAGAGTCATAAGAAAGATCTATATTGTCTCTAAAAGAGGGAAGTACCATACGGACTATAGGGGAGAAGGCTGGAAGAGAGGGTCAATGCTTTTATTTTGTAAAGGAGAGGACCTCCAAAATCAGTCGAAAAGGACATATATGGTAGTCACAAAGGGAGTGGATTGAATCGCATCAACAGTGTTGAAAAGTCATACGAAAGAACTATATCATCTCACAAGGAGAGAAGTAGGATATGGGCTATAGGGGAGAAGGCAGGAAGAAAGAGTGATGTGTTATCAAGGGAGGGGAAGACGTGGCAAAGAACAGGGAAGGGACAGATCATAAGGAAAGAAAGGTGGGAGGGAGACAGATCAGGGAGTGACGTGGCAGAGAAAGGGAAAACAATGTGGGGGGGAAGGAGAGGGTGAGGACGGGGTGTGTTGGGGGAGGGCGCATATTTGAAAGATAGAATAGAGACTTAGCAAATCACGAGACGAATTCTAGAATCAAAAAGAGGAGGGGGGGTGAGGGAGACAGATCAGGCAGTGACGTGGCAGAGAAAAGGAAAGTGATAGGGGGGAGAAGGAGAGTGCGAGGACAGGGAAGGGACAGACCATAAGGAAAGAAAGGTGGGAGGGAGACAGACCAGGGAGTGACGTAGCAGAGAAAACGAAAGTAATGTGGGGGGGAAGGAGAGTGTGAGGACGCGGCGTGACGGGGGAGGGCGCATATTTGGAGGTTAGAATAGAGATTTAGCAAATCACGAGACGAATTCTCGAATCAAAAAGAGGAGGAGGGGTGGAAGGAGGTGAGGTAGAAAAGGGAGGGTGAAGGAGAGTAAGAGGGGAGAAGGGAGAAGGGAGCAAGTAGTTAGCAGTAGTATTTGGAACAAGGTCAAACAATTAGGGGGGGGGGAAACACGGAGGGGGTGGGGGAACAACGCGGATAAACAAGAGGCGGATGTGAGGTACGAGTGGGGAGAGATAGAACGAGTTGGAGTGGGGAAAGGGAGTGGAGGGGCTTGCCGAAGTAGGGGGTTTGGTGGAGTTGGTGGGGGGAAGGAGAGTGTAAGGACGGGGAGTGTAGGGGGAGGTCGCATATTGGGAAGTTAGCAAGGAGACTTTGCAGAACACTCGAATCAAAAAGAGGAAGTGGACGTATGGGAGTACCGGAACAGGATCTGCAGTCACTTCATGATCTCTATGCACGTCATGCTGTATTATTTAATTTCTCAGGCAAAAACAGAGAACTCTCGCTCAATGAAAAAAGAAAGTGGGTGATGGAGCGGCTCAGAGGACTAGAGAACATACCAGGAATGGAACCAGAGGTGTCATACCACAAAAGAGGAAGATTTACGGTAATGATAGTTTGTGTGGATACAGCGTACGCTCAATTTTTATTATCCTTGGGTTCTCTCAAATGTCATGGATCTATGGTAACCATTCAAGCATGGAAGCCTCCTCAGCCACCGCCGGCGGAAGCATCGAGACACAGGCAGTCTATGCTCAGAGATCATTTTTGGGTACAATTTGACAATCTTTTGGAGGGTATGCACAGCTTCGTCCAACAACGTCTCATGGAGGAATATCCAAATGACCCAATTATAGAGTGGCTCCCTGCTAATCCGGATTTTCTTGCTCCAAATCATGATTCCAAGGTGGCATGCTTGGAAGCTAAGTCGGGAGCTCCACCGAAGTTCCCAGAGGTCAAGATTTTTCAAGGAAGGACAGAAAGAATAATGGTCTTTATATCCACAAAAACTAATCTCTTTTGTTTTAAGTGCAGGGGGAGGAGACATTTGGGGATGCACTGCCCACAGTCTGTGGGGGGGTCAGGAGGTAGTCAGCCACAATTAAAGCAATCAATGCTGGTTGAATCAGACAACAAACCAGGGGTCTGGTTTATTAATTCAGCACAATACAGAGGCTGGATTTTTTATGACAATCTGGACACTCCACGATGGGTGTGGGTTTTGAGCAGAGCACCAACGGTGAAACCGGACATCTACCCTCCATATGATAGCAGATGGCGACAAATGGGTGCAAAAAGGATGGTGGATAGGGATGTGGGCTTTCTCACCAAGCCTATGATAGATGAAGCTACGGTGATGGATGACAGGCAGAGATTACAGACCATGGCAGAGCTAAACAAAGTGGGACAATCAGAAGAGCAGGCTTTTCTGGAAAACAGGAGAGCAAGAGAGGAAGCAAGGAGGACGGAAGCAAAGGGAGGTAAAGAGGAGGATGGGGGCGATAGTGTGCAGGAAAGTAAGACTGGGTCAAAGAGTAGGAGAATGAGAGAGGAGGAGTCTGTGGGGGAAGAGGGAGACGGGGTCACCGGGAGTGAGGACAAGGGAGGAGAATCATCAGCCTCTCTTAAGGGGAAAATTACAGATAGGGATTCAGCGAAAGGTGACAGCTCATACCAAGGGTCAAAGAGGGCATATTCAGGGAAGGGAAACGATGGTTTATCTTCAGAGGGGGAAAAAGATCAGGATGATGCTATGAAAGAAAAAGGTAAGGAGGATCAGGGTTCTCAGGGGGAAGAAATGAAAGTTACAACCTCTTCAGAGGGCACGTCAACGACAGCTTCAACGGATCAACGAACAGATCAAGGGCCTGCAATAGGTCGAGTCAGATCTACAAAAGCATCATCGCCCGAGGTTTCGAAAAACACAGCACAAGATCTGGGGGGGAAGACTGTTGAAGGGGAAGGAAAAATGGCACAGGATTCAGATAGAGATTTGGATAGGGATAGTGACAAGAGGCAGGATGATTGGGAGGAGGAAGAGGAGGAAGAAGAGGACGAACCGGAAACACTAGCTCAGTGGATAAAACATGTTCACAAATTAAAGTGGGAGAGGCATATTGAGTGTGAGATTCGTCTGGCACATCACAAACATTTGCGCAATCTGAAACAAGCCACAGCAGCGGGGGAGGACATTACAACAGCAAACAAATTCGAAAGACTCAAGAATGAGCAAGATGTTAACGAGTTCTATGCCACGCAATATGGAATGAAGGCCAGGCTGGACAAGAACGACATCATGGTGCACAATGCAGGCTACGCTAAACAGTTCATTTGGCCGAAGTCCTATCAGCCACAGGGTCTGAAGAGAGCTGAGCAAAAGAGAAGGGCGCAACAACAACAATTGGAGTTTTCGGGTAGTAGGGATCAGGATTTGTCAGATTCCACTCAGGGGGTGGGGGTGGATGAACCGATGGAGGAGGAAAAGAGGCAGGCAGTGATCTTGGAGGCACAACTGAAGGTCCTCAAGGAGCAGAATAGCGAATTAGGGGAAGACACTATAAATCTGCAGAAAATTGCCTATGCTCCACATGCAGACATCAATGCAGCAGCCAAACTGTATGCAAGACAAGACCCAGGGAAGAGAATTGTTCTGCCGTACAGATGGAACAGCGGAAATGCTGATTGGGAGGTAGCCATCCACAGGTCTCTGGCATTGATTACAGTAAAGGACAGCCACTGCGAGCATGTCATATTGAAGGAACATATCACAAAAGATCTGCCTTTGAAGGCACACGTCATTGGTGATCTCAACCGGGATAGGGAAGAATGGGAAGATACGGAGGGTACAAAGCACATGTTGGATTACAGACCGGTCATGATTAAGTTACAGGAAAAGGCAGTCCTGACGGATGGATTCATCTGGATGCCATGGCAGGTAGTGGAGACGATTCCATATGGTCTCCTGGGAGGGTCGGAGGCGGCAGAATGGGTGGCAAGAGGAGCAGCCATAGTGACCAAAAGTGATGTATTTGCATGGCAGCCTGATTACATTGACGGAAAGATAGACATTGTGGCTACAACAATAGAGTGGACACGGACGAGATGTTGAGTACTGAATTCGAATAAAGGTCAAAGGAAATAACTTAGATCATGGAGGAGGGTTTAAGAGAAGGAGTTTACAAACGTAGAAGGACAGTGGAAGCGTCAAAGAGTAGGGAACCGGACTTGAGGGTTATGTCTTGGAACATTAATGGGATGGTACAAATTTTGGAAAATAAAGACAAGTGGGATAACGTAATAAAGTATTCAAATTGGTTTGGGAAGACACCCCCAAATTTTTTACGTTTGCAGGAAACTCACCTAACGGATTCCTTGGAGCATCAGAATATTCAGCAGAGAATAGTAAGACAGTTAAGGTGGGTTAAGACAAGTTTTTGGGCGGTGGCTGGCAGGTCACATTCAGCAGGAGTAGTAATTTTATTGAACAAAAGGTCGATGGCAGCAGATAGAATACTAGTACAGGATGTCATTCTAGATGAAAATGACGGTCGGTGGATAAAGTTCAACTTTACTTATCAGGATGAGCAGTTTACGCTCATTACGGTCTACTGTCCTAATGGAGGTTATCAGCGGGCAGAAATGATAGATTGGATCCAAAATCTCATTGACCCATCAAGGCATCTTTTACTGGCCGGGGACTGGAACGCCACTTTGGATCCTAGTAGGGACAAATTGCAAGGTGGAAGGTCAGGGTTAGGGGAAGGAGGGATGTGGGATGAAACCCTTCCCATTCATAATCTTATGACGGCTACGGATTCGGTGGATCCTTTTAGACTTCAACAGCCTGAACGGAAACAGTTCACATATTATAAAAAGAATCGTAGTCAACATATGTCAGCATCAAGGATTGACTATTTTCTCATATCACAAGACACTGTGGGAACGATACACTCTGTGGGAGTAGGGGACTTACCATACTGTACATGTCTAGATCGTAAACCTATATTTCTTAACTTTATTATGGACAAACATGTTCACAGAGGTAGGAGCTTCTATAAGGTGAATAATTCATTATTAAGAACTAAGGAATTAAGGGAAGCTTTACTGAATGTCTGCCTAATACACAACCCGTGCACACATTCATTTGCGGACCTGATAGAAGTTATGTCATCAGCAACGGCAATAGTAGCCAGACAGCTGGCAGCAAGGCGGGTGGCAAGAGAAATGGAACTACAAAGGGCATTGCGGATAGCGGAAAATAATCTAATTAATAACCCGCGTTCGGAGATGTATGAAAAAATAATACAAGAAGCAAGAAATGAATTGGGGGATTGGGAGAGATGGAGAGCTAGAGGTCTGCAAATGAGAGCGAGAGTGAAAGAATGGGAGGAAGGGGAAAGAATGACAAAATATTTCTTCCAAAAGATTAAAGCAAGAGGAAGAAACAAGCTAATAGAGCAGCTGGAGGGTCCCCAAGGACTGGTCTCGGATCCGGAAGGGATGCTATCGGTGGCCTACGACTTTTATAGTGCTTTATACACTTCTAGGGAAGCGGATCATACTCCTCATCAGTTGAAGGAGGTCAAAAATAAGTTTCTTTCATATCTGACCCCAACGGTGAAAAGAGAGCAGGCATAAAAATTAGATGCCCCTCTTTCCCAACAAGAATTGAAGGAAGCACTACAGTCTATGCCTGCCGGGTAGCGACGGATTAACTAAGAATTTTGGATGGAGTATTGGCCTATCCTAGGAGGAGAGTATGAATCCTTTCTCAATCAGGCCTGGCAGAAAGAAGGATTGGGGTTAGAGTCGGCAACAGGGATAGTTACTCTGCAGTATAAGAAGGGAGACCCGAGGGATATCAACAATTGTAGGCCAATTACATTGTTGACTCTCACTCACAAGATTGTGGCTAAAGCACTAGCTAACCGCCTGAGGAAGGTTACAAAAAGTTGTTTTCATCGAGATCAAAAGGGATTTATACTAGGAAGATTTATATTAGATAATGTGATGACCTTATCAGAGTCAATAAGGTACATTACTAATAGAAGGATAAATGCAGCTATTCTCTTTTTCGACTTCGAAAAAGCATATGATCAAGTCAATTGGAATTTTCTACAACAATGTATGGAGAAGATGGGGGTGGGTCCTAACTTTCGTAAATGGATACGTGAACTTTATAATGATGCACATAGGCAGGTTCAGGTTAATGGCCACCTGTCAAATCGATATAAAATGACAAGGTCAGTGAGGCAAGGGGACTCTTTAGCTGCTCCTATTTTCTTATTCATAATGGAAGCTATCTCCTCATTCCTCAGGAAAGACCCTTCGATAGACCGGCTGGTTGCTGAGCCAGATCACCAGGGACGAGTCACACATATACCGACAATGATATTATTTGCGGATGATTTGACGGTACTAATCAGAGCAACAGACTCTTCATTCCAAGCCCTAACGAGAGCAATGGCCGCATTCCAGCTAGCATCGGAAATGAGAGTCAACTGGCAGAAGACGATGGGGTGGTGGTTATCACATGATGACCAATAACTACAAAATCAGCCGCAGAATTATGAAGGGATGACTTGGTTACCACGGGATCAGACAATGAGATACTTTATCACAATGACGGGTGAGGGTCCCCATCACTCTATGGTGCCAGAGCACATGACAAAAATGCTATTAAAGTTGGCAACGTGGTCGAAAATACATACCTCACTGTTCGGTTGGGAGTTTTGGATCCATGGCAGCAGATAAGGGCACTTCAGACTAAGTGGATTATAAAGTTGTTAACACAGCCTCACCTTGGGTGGGTTCCTTTGGTTCTCGATCACATACGTCAGATGGTAAGATATAAAACGCCAAACAATATGAAGGGTACTTTCTGGTTATTTTGTAAGGGTTGGACGAAGAAGGATAGAATTGAGAATCACGAAGTAAACCAAGGGATTACTAGGGGTTCATATTGGGCTCAATTGTTCAAAATATGGGAGGAGGTCTTCCCGACGAGAGTAAGAAAACCGAAGACGAAGAATGAGGTACTTAGGCAACCCTTATTCTGTAATCCATGGTTAAAGGACTCTCAAGGAAAGCCAAGAACACTAACATCAAAAGATGCCAAATGGGGGAAGTGGTTACAACACGGTGTATGGCAGGTAAAACATCTTTGGTCAGACGACAAGGGGGGAGGGAAAATAGGTAGGGAGATGAGAGACGAAGTGAAAGGATATCACAGAGTAACGGAAAGTCTGAATGACATTCTCATCTCCATCCCGGATGAGTGGACAACAATACTGAAGGAACCGGACAAATGGGGCGGGGGAGATTGGGAAACAATAACCACTAACGATGAACCGGAATCAGCCATTTGTATAAGACAGGAAGTCGGCCCTCTCAACCAGTGGGTTGAAGCAGATATGTACACAATACTATCTCCAGGACTCACTGTTAGTAAGCTGGATAGGGAATCCAGGGTTCCGATAGTCATCAAGAAAAGCATCCTGAGAAAGATCAGAGTGGTTGAAAATGAAGATTTTACGATATTTGAGCCACTGACAGCCATTCGGGATCTGGAAATTGATCCAGCAGAGTGGGCATGGAATATAAGGGGAAGTTCGTCAAGAGTAAGCAGGAGAATCAATATACTTCAGTATACTACTAAACTGGGCTACCGTTTGAGGGAGAGACCACGCCAGTTGGACAACATTTTGGCAAGAAGATGGGAGAAGACATTAGATATACCTAGGGTCCAGATAGAAAAGTTACCTCGGTCAAATCTGCACAGCATCAGGCTGCCTAAGGTTAGGAGTATGCAGTGGCTTATCTTTCATGTAGCACTCCCAGTCAATGTCTGGTTGTTCGCGAGGTGCATTGGAAACTCTGATACATTGCTTGCTCCATTGCCCGGAGGCAGAACATCTTTGGTCCATATCACGTGAATTATGGGCACAGACTACTGACATCCCATTCCCACATAACAGAAAATTAATATTGATTGGAAGTGAAGTTCCTGGAGGATGGAAGTCAGGCCAGAAATATATCTTTCAACTTTTGAGACAGTACACCCTATGGACAATATGGAAACGAAGATGTCAAAGGGTGGTGGGTAAGACTTTGTTGACAAGAGGGGAAGCCAAGGCAATACTCTATAACTTGTTGGAAACAAAGATTAGGGCATTATGGAGTAGAACAAAGAAGCAACTTCAGCTTAATCCAGAAAGGGCAACGGACATCTTATCAAAATATCAGAACAGGGTATTAGCCCAAGGCAAAGTTGCGACGATTGAAGGACAAAAACTGATCTTCCATTGGTTCAAGGCTAAGAATCAGGAGGATAATATAGATGATCAGCGATCGACACAGGAGTTGAGGTTGCCTTAAGGAGTAAATGGGAGACTAGCTTTAGCCAAATTTTGTTTTTCCATATGGGGTTATGTACTTTAGACAAAATAGGAGGAGTTGTTATCTGCTAGGACCTTTCTCGTTACTCATGATATATATGACAGGTTGTACCATGTGACCTGAGAGGAAAGGATGAAGCAGGGCAAGCTGACAGTCAATCCTCCGCGATGTTGGAGCAATCAATGCTGGTCAGGGGTCCTTCGGCCAGACGGAAGAAAGCGTGAGTGAGTATTTTTTATATATCTTTTATTATGACTTGCCGGTGGAATAGGAACCGGAAAAAAAAAAAAAAAAAAAAAAGTCACTTAAATTTTTACCAAGGATTGAGTAGAGTCTTAAAACATAGGACGTAATCAGACAGAGGGGTAGAGCGGAAGGAGAAACGATAGCACTAGGGTTTAGGGTTTAAGGGGAGGATAGATTGAAAGTGAGAGGGGAGGGAGAAGTTAGGTAGTGGTAACCTGGGGGTAGGATGGTCAGTTCTTTTGGCTCCAAAATGCAACCTAGAGACAGGCTGGCAGTTTCTTTCATCCATTGCGATTTGTCTTTTGTTATAAAAAAAGGGAAAGAGAGATGCAGCAGAACAATTGAAGGACAGTCCAGACCACGGGAGAAGGTTCGGGTGGAAACCAGAATGATGAAACAAGCAGAGACCCTTTGCAGATGGCGGAAGACCAAGCAAGCCTGGACAGAAGACGAGGAACAGCGGAAGAATGAGAGACTGAGGTTTTACAAGAATTGGT